CAATATAGGATGCTCCAAGCGCACAAGCAATGCAGCCGTCAGGTCAGAATTGGGGATCCAATCCCTACGGTCGGGAAGAGACGCGAGGAAGCTGACATGGCAGTATCGCATGTGCGGGATGGGAGAAGAGGAGAGGTTGCCCAGAATTGTATGGGAGGCGAAGTGGGCAAACAGGAGGGGTAGACAACCCACGGAATGGGTCAAGGTTGAAGAGGACGTATGGAAGGGGCTCGACATCGACGAAGATGAAACGCTGGAAACGGAGGGTCTACAGGGGTTCAAGGAGAAGATATCTGTTGCTTGTGCCGAGAGAGAAGAACAGAATCTGAGGAAAGAATCCAAGGATAAGGAGGGTCTAGAAGTGTACGGAATGTTGAAGGAAGGAATAGGGTTCAAGGACTACCTACATGGACCAATGGATGCAGGAACAAAGCTTAAGGTCAAATTCAGGACCGGGGACATAGGCCTTCGAGAACGTCGACGAAGACATAGGACGGTAGACGAGGAAGACGACGAGTTCAAATGTGATTGCGGCTTCGAATGCGAAGACCGTGTTCATGTAGTCGCGGAATGTCCGTTGTACAAGAAGGAGAGGGAAGTGTACGTGACTGAGCTGGGAAAAATAGATGGAACGTACAGGGAGATGTTTGAGGCATGGAATAGAGAGGAAAGGACGGTAGCTGTACTGGGGCATAGGAGGTGGGTTGAAAAGGCGGGAAGGGATATCGTTAGGACAGACAGACTAGGGAAAACATTTTTGAGCCACCTTTGGCAAAGTAGAAAGGAACGATTGGCCATCGGTGATCGGTCCTGTGGGAACAATGCTCCGTCCTCTCGAGGACGCGTGGTCAATGGTCTAACCGCTAAGGCAAAACATAAGAGTACGCCCCCCCCCTCGATGTGTCGTCGACAGGGAGAAAGATACTATAAGTAGCTTATAGATTCCCCGCATCGCAACAAAAAAAACGTGCTGCTGCTGCTCCAAGCTCATGCATGCTGCAGTTGTTGACACGTCTACATGTCGAGACAGACACCGGTTGAGTCCCCCCTGATTAACCGCACTCCTTGCCGATCGCCCCGCCGCCTTTTGGAAAATACACTACGAGAAATGTCCGTTCAGATTTTACCATTTGAAGGTCTACTACAAGTAGTCGTGACAAGCTTTGCTCGCGGGGTCAGGGAACGAGACCCAGCGCCAACTAGCCGTGATAAAAGCTTCAACTGCCGCCTTGCCTGCCCCATGAATAATCTCGAAACGACCATCAGCACCACGCTTCTCCCACTATAAAATCATGACGTGACGCTACACGAGCCGGGCTGCCTACCGTACACGTGTACCTCTGCTTAGTTCGCCACACGGCACAAACGCAAGAGAAACAGGAAGAGGAGGAGGGCGCAGCGTAGGGCAAGCCAACATTTTGGTATAGGGGGCAGGCAATACGAAGCCAAGATAGCCCCTGTTACGACCTAACCCCACATCTCATCTACATGAACCCCGCGTGTTGTGCCCTCGGCCGGATCATAACCAGGAGTAACCGGCCCCGCCGACTTGCCGTCAAAACCGGTGGGGGGCACACAAGAAACGAAGGCTACAACAAGGACGGAGAGTTCAGTTCGTCCCGGCTCCGCACCCACAACGAAGAGGGGGATACAAAACATACTTCTTTCACACCAACCGCTTCCTCCCCTTATCCAACGACCACCCGGGTCATGTCAACATAATTCGCCAACTACCTTCCAGCAGCCCAGAGGTGCTTCCTCCCCTCCGTGCTGCCCGATCGAAATCACATCGCCATGCTCGCCTCGAGCTCCCGCAGTGCTCGAGCGTCCTCGTCCTCCTCCACCGCTACGGGCGCGCTGACGGGGGTTGTCGACGGCACCGATGGCAACTCGTACCCTTGGGGGACCTTCGATTCGGCGACCGCCGGCTGCTCGACTCCCTGGGGCGCCGCGGGCCGCGCCGTCGGCACGGCGGGGGGTGCGAGGAGCTGCTCCTCGAGGTCCGCCTCCTCAAGCATGTCTAACTCTTCCAGGAGGGCGTCGTCGTCGAAGAGGTCGTCCGCCGGCCTCGCGATCGCGTCCCCGATCTGATTCATTGTTGGGTGTGACGCCCGGTTGGGTGATGGGTTTGGGGGGTGAATGGGGGTGATTTGGGTGACTTGTTGAGGATGAATCGAGGTTTGATGGTTCAAAGGGGTTGTGGTGGTCGAATGGTCCGGATCAAAAGGTGTATTGTCTGGATGTTGTTGACGCCCGCAAAGGCTGCTGAAGCTTGACCGGCACTACTCGACTATCGAATGTCCGGCCTCGTCCCACATACACTTGAGTTCCTTGTTGTCCTACACAAGACACGGAGGTGCAAAAACCAAGCCCATTAACGACAGAGAAGGAGCGTGGGTATGACAAATTATATTCCGTCGGCAAGCGCAAGAGGGTGCAGCTGGAATTATCCTCTCAGTGACTTGACCGGGCGTGTCGAGGCAGTGCTCTTCGTTTTGTGCGCAAAATACAAAAACATAGGAGTAGTATACATATAGACAATGTTTATACTTGCGTGACGCCCCGAAAAAAAGGCGGTGCAGGAAAACCAAAAAAAACATCACCAGTTGTATCGTTGGCGGTAGTCGCCACGACCACATCAGCAGCAGTCGCAACAACAACAACAACCACGCACCTGCTCCGCGATGTCCATCTCGTCCTTGATGTCGTCCATCACATCGTCCACCTGGTCAACGTCCAGACGCCCCCTAGCGCCTTCCATCGCCTTCGCGCCGCTCCGCATCGCGTTGAACGTCTGCATGTTCATGTTCGACCCCTCTAGAGCGATGATCTGAGGGCGTGGATAGGATAGTCCCACAAGCGGCGGACAGCAGTAAGCGGAGGGACGACAGAAGGGGAGTGCAGACAGGGGGACGGGGGACGTGGGGGACAGCGTTGAAACGCGAAGCTGGAGCCTGTCTGATCGACCGACACTCGAAAGACGAAACGCTGCGGCGGGGCGACCAAGGCGCAGACACACAAATTTGCCGAGAAACACCCGCAAGCCCACGGGGGCGAACATTTAAGCCTCGCGCCCGTGGCCAAGCTCGTGATGTCGGAAGAAAGCATGAGACCAACGCACCGCCACCACCCTTGCTTTGAAAGGAGCATGGTTCAAGATCAGGCACCGGTCATGAAACCGGACATGTGTAGCTCCGCAAGTCTGGGATACGTACCACGCCACAAAACAGTCCTCTTCACATCATGCCGAAGAAGGTCTGCAAGCCGTACTTGCTTCAAGGTGATTCGTTCACAAGCTCCTGGAGTCCATAGATGCGCAAATTTCGCTGCGCATCTCTCGGCCAGCATCCCCCTGTCTCGTCAAAAGAGGCTAGTACGCCACTATGCAGCCGTTAACGCACCGGAGACCCTCTTGCTAGCCACACGTCAGAAAAAAAACAAACAGTGGTTCAACCGCAAATTGTAGCTCTCGGCGGAAATAAGCTCAAGCAGCACAATGCCAGCTCTCCTCCATCACCAGCAACGGAAACCCGTACTCATAGGCACACGGGGCTCCACCTGGCGTTGCCTTCACCCACCCACCTGGCTTTCCAGCGTCATGCGTGCTCCGTTGAGCTTGTTGACTTCCCCTTCGTACATCTTCTTTCTCTTGAGGGCGAACAGGGCCCCTCTCTTATCCTTCGCGTTGCTCTTCGCCTTGGCATCAAGCAGCTGCGCCTTGATCTTCTTCTGGATATGGTTTTCCCTTCAATTCCGAGCACACAGAAAGTACAAGAAAATGAAGTCTCCACGTTATTTTCTCCTGCGTGACACCGTCTTGTACGTCAAACTCATATACCGAAAGATGCAGACTGGCGCCAGAACAGATGGGGTTAGCGATATGGCTGATCGAATCGCTGAACCTGTATCACAGGAGTCTGAAAATTAGGGCAAGATGTGTGTCTCCTGCGCACAGCACCGGCAATCGCTCGTTTTGTGCGGGCGTGACTTCATCTTGTGTAGAGTCACACTGATTCCAAGCAGTACTATACCGCATGCATACGGAAACGTGACAGGGCATTGGGAGCATCCAAGAAGAACACCGTTTCCCGATAAATTCGTTCGAATACAAAGCGGGCGTGTCCGTTTTTCTACCCGACAACTCCACTGCCGCAAAATCGCAACTTCATGCTATCAGATGAAGCCTCTAGGACGCGTGGGAGCACGACATTAGCTTCACGGACACCAGCCGCATCCGGTGGAACTCAGTTCTTCAGAGGGTCTGCAAACTTCGGAAGACGAGCTGGTCGCGCGGCTTTTCAGCGCTACCAGTGGTCCCAGCTTGAATCCCACAATGAGCAGTCCGAAGTCGCTCAGCTTGTCATGAGCTGTGGAGAATAACGACTACTTGTACCGCTGTATAGGCGTCGTGAACACCAGCTCGGCCTCCGTGTGGTCGGCAGGCGAAAACATCGTATCTGAGTTGGATGAGGCGGATATCTTGCTGAGAAGAGCTGTACACAGCGGAACCCAGAGAGCGGCAATTGCTTTGGCGATTGTTGCTCTCTCGACGCTATATCACAAGGTAACCTCTACAGAACATCACACCCGGTGATACTGTTGTTGAAACGCTCAACATGTACAAGTGGCAAAAAAAAAAAGCAAAAAGTGCCGGAAAACCACTTTGTTATCACCCGGCGGTGTTATCTTTGTTTGATTACGGCATGCGTCTGGAACGTCCTCACCAGTGCGTCCTTGAAGGGGCCACAAAACAAGTAAGGTTTCACTGGTCACGAGCTGTCCCATGAGGTAAAAAGTATTTGCACCCAATCGTCTTATCAAATGTGGGGGCCACGCTTCACCTTCGGTAAATGGTTGACGCATCAGTAGGGGACATCTTGGAGGAACGCAAAAACTGGATTTTGTATTCTTCGGCCCTCCTTCCCCATAACGTTCTTTGCTCTCGATCATTAACGCGGGCAGAGGATTGGTTCAGCACAGCAATAGCTCTCCTGTGTTTGCTCATGACTGCTGTACGATTTTCGCGCCAGTGAAAACAGCGTTTTTTCACTCCAGAGACGTTCAGCCCCGCAACGTCGAGGGTCAAGGGTCCGAGGTCGCCGACTGCTTCAACAATGGGAAATATGATGTTCACTTGAATACACTGCTGCTGACAAGTAGTTCGCACATTTCGAAAGGTTCAGTTTAAGTTGTAGAAGTACGGATCATACGAACGAGTAACCCGGTTGCTTCGGTTCAAGAGCGCAACTCTAGAGGAAAAGAACATGGCAGGTCTGCAACCGTAGATGCGGCGGGGAAATCTTGTAAATTTAACAGGTTACGGCAGTCCACAGAAGCGTTCGTACCGGTGTGGGCTGGAAACCGGTTAAACTCATGCAAGCTGGCGATGCACATGTAGAAAAAATTATCCTTGCCACATCCATCCAACCAACGGCTACTTGAGTCTCATCCTGGAGCGCAAGAAAATTTATTCGCAATCCGCCGCGCTGTCACATGTGCTTCCAAGTGTGTCTCGGTCACGCGGTGCTGTCGGTTCAGAAAAAAAATCACATGACAGGGCCTCCCAAATCGAACAGAAACGAGCCATACTTGCTTCACCAATGCGTGGGGGGATGCCGTCGACGCACTGGGTTTGGTTGCTGCAGCAGTACAGCTGTCAACCTCCCGTGCTCATGCTCCTTACCGGTTTTGGAGTACGTGTGGACTTCATCATAGAATGTTAATTTTCAGCAAAAGAAGACCGCCGCTACACCAAAGGCTGTTTAATGCACGCTAGTCTCACAGAAGGGCATCATAAGGCCATAGAAACGCAGGTGTTGTGTGCGACAGCGGTTTCACATGTCTAGCGTGTCATTTCCGAAACCCTGTTCTACACCAACCCCGCGGGCTTCACAGCAGCTGGTGCCGTCTTGAACAGAAAGTTGCCCCGGTTCTTCCATCAAAAGAACCAGGACGGGTATAATAGTAGTACCTTACGAACCAACTACTCTTCGACTTCGAAGGTGCCCTCACCTCTTGTCCAAGGAGTCCAGTGTCTCCCTCAGCTTGAGGATGGTGGAGGTGGTGTCCGTGGCCTGAGGCTTCGCTTTTGCTTTTCCAAACAGATTCATCTTTCCTCCGGCCGCGTCCAAGTTACAGCAGCAGCAACAGCTTCGGAAGTGCGAACTTACACGCGCAAAACAGGCTCCTCCACCTTAATCCTCGTCCAAATTTGCAGTGTTTTGGTCTTGATAGGGCTCGCTGTTGAATTTCTCGTCCTCGACAGATAGTGAGAGCGTTGTGTGTGGCACGCCCACCAGTGCACCTGGCCTGTAACTGGAATGGAAGTGGTACAACACTCTTCGACTACTTGAGCACCCGGGGCTCCGTGTGTAATGACTCCTACCTCAAAGTTGACATTTTCATCCGTGTGCCCCCTCCCGCCTGCGCTTGCTGCGCTCAACAGGCGCTGCACTGCCCATCAGTCCAGTCACTACTGTGTGTTGCCGCCGATACCATGAGGACCGCTGCGGCTTGCCTGGGGGCTTCATTATCCGTGTATGCTGTTCCATCGCGAGGTTTCCTTCCGCCTGGTAGGCCAACGCTTGCGCCTTCTCCAGCCGCGGTTGGCATCGGACATCGCAGCAGCAGCAGCGCAAGGTATGCATACGGTTTGTATGTAAAACATGCTACCGCAGCCGTGCGTGAAGGCCGCCGGCCGACACAATCTGTTGCGATGGTCGAATCCCCATTGGCTCCCTGGTCTCATGTCCTGGGCAGCTTGAAACCTATACGTAAGTCTCTGCCAGACGTGGTGGTTGTTGTTGTTGTGGTCCAAGCGGTGAGAAAGAGGGTCTGAGATCGGTGATCCTCGGCTGTCAGTCGACGAGCGCCGCTGTGCCGGAGTACTGGGCAGCACCAGGCAACGAGCCCACCCTGAACACTCTCCTGCCCACCCGCCATTGTATTGCATTTCTATTCAGCGTGGAAGTGTCGTGGTCGGTCGGCGTATGCTGGTAAGATGTTGTTGTTGTTGTCCTGTGTCACTGCTGTCTTCGTGACTTGAACGCGATGGTTGAAGGTTTTGCTCAGTCAGGCGTTGCTCACGCGTACACACTGGTAGGAGACAAAGGGTATGAGGGAGGCTGAACACAGAGTGATCGCCGAAGGTGTACTCTTAGATATTTCGGCCTCGACCCGTGGGTGCGATCGCTGGACTGCAGTCGCAACCGGGAAACAAATCGCGCCCCTCCTGGGGCATGTCACATCACGCCTGTTTGGTCGAGCTCCCCAACCGCAACGAACGGTGTCTCCGCAAAGCGCGAGTTTGCACCTGGAGCTGACACATCTGCATCGACTACGGAAAGATCCGGACCGATTTTCCTATCAACTGCTGGATATTTCGGCGCCTGTACCTTGTCCCTTGTCTCACCATCTTGCGGCCATCGCTCGCTAACATTCCGGCAAGGGCGGGCGGGTCACGAGAGGAACGACTAACAACTTCGGACAACTTCTCCACGATGCAATGCCTCCGTCGTTCTCGGAAGACACAACAGCAGTCTAGTAGCGGTGTAAGGGATGTGCAGTGTCCACGCTGGTGGATTCGTAGAACCTCCCCGGTCGCCAAGAAAAGAGTCGCTCGTTTGTGTCCGACCTCACACTTTGCCCTTCTCTCCGCCGCCGCCTTGGCTTTGATCCGCCGCATCTTTTTGTCCCGCTTTCTTGACGCCGCAGCGCTCGGTCCAGGGGCGGGGGATTGCACATGTCGCTAGGATTGAGAGACGGGGACGTTTTCTGGGCAAAGGAGCTCCGGCTGGGGATGGAGTGAGTACAACGGCGCATGGAAAATAATTCCTTGTGCTGACCTCGCCAGATATGTAATCATATTTACAGGAGAATGCGTTCGGCCTCGCCCACGCGTACGACAGTCTAGTCCAGTTCGATTTTTGCGAGCGCGCTGTCGCTGCTGTTTTTCGGCGACATGCCATGAAAGACGAGGAGCCGCACACGCGGAGCAGCGCTTATTTCCCTTCAGTTTACGGTTCAGCGGCTTTCGATGTTGCCGAATGGTTCTCTTTGGTTTCTTACCCTTTCCTGGTTGACGTTGTTCCCGTTGCTCGTTAAGATTATGCCTCCCGTTTTTTTTTGTTTCGATTGCTTGTGTTTTTATCGCTGCCTTGTTGTCGTCCGGCAACAAGAATAACAACAACATACCATGCCGCCACCGCCACCCTCAACGACGACGACGTCAACAACACAACAGGTACAGCCGGCTAGGGAAGAGCGACCTCGTGGTTAGCAAGGCGTGCCTTGGCACGATGACGTGGGGGGAGCAGAATAGTGACGAAGAGGCCTTCGAGCAGTGCAACATGGCCTTCCACGAGTTTGGCGTCAACTTCATTGTGAGTAGCTTGTCGACACGAAGATGTACCCTCGAGCTGTGAGTGTCATGCTCTTTTTTTGAGGTTGCATTGTTGTGCGAAGGAATTCGCCTCATTTCAGCGCTTTTCGATGAAAAAGGTGGAGGCTCTTGCCACGGACAAGGAGTGAATCTACACTCGAGCTAGAGGAGAGTACTGACGCAAACGTGCACCACGAGGTTGAAGGAAGTTTCGAATGGACAGCCACGGCCCCTGGCGTGACTGAAATGAAGCGAATGTTTGTTAACGGGGGCTCTTGCAACGGGTATGAAGTGAATCTACACGCGAGCTAGAGGAGAGTGCTGACGCAAACATGTACAGCCAGGTTGAAGGAAGCTTTGGATGGGCGGTTACACCAACGTTGGGAAATGTTTTCGCGCCGCTCCCGGACACCCTCGAACTCGGCTCGTTCTCATTTTTGATCTGAAAAATAAAAGGATGCGGCGGAAATGTACCCGGTGCCACCCAAGCCGGAGACGCAGGGTAGGACTGAGATAGCTTTGGGAAAGTGGCTCAAGTCCGTCGCGAGGCACAACGTAGTTGTCGCCACCAAGGTGAGGAAAGCACATCCTCGGACTGCTCAATCGGTCATGCTTCCGTCGATTGGATGCTTTTACCTGAGAAATTTGCGAGTTTGAAGCTGTACGGTAGGGTGACGGCAATAAACATGGCGTTAGACGAATGGTTTAGTCGCAGCGGCTTTTTTGTCAAGTCGATAACGAGAAGTGGAGCCATGTTGGTGATGATCCCCCAGATATGGGCTCTCCCCGTGCATAGCGCAGTCTTGGTCATGGCGGCCAGACTCGCCCTTCGCCCGGACGCGCCCTCCACCCAACCCCAGGGCCATGTAGCATGGAATGTATCGGATAGGTTCAATTGATCCTGACGGGCGTTTTATCCCCCGGGAACTTTCATCCAATCCCTCTTTATCACTATTTGCCGGGTAAATTTATTCATGAGATGTCGTGTCATGTCGGTCGCCCCCCCCCCCCCCCCCCCCCCCCCCCCCCCCCCCCCCCCCCCCCCCCCCCCCCCCCCCCCCCCCCCCCCCCCCCCCCCCCCCCCCCCCCCCCNCCCCCCTGCAAGGTCGTCGGGGTATAATCGCGTGTCGAGCTGGCTCTATGGAGGGGGCACATCTTCCGTGTGATCCTTTTTATTTCTCTCTGTCCTTGCACGTGTCCGTGTGTTTTTCTTCCTGTGGCTCTGAAACCTTTGCATGCGTGATTGATGCTGCACGCGGAATGTCTGAGTGCCACACATGCTCATGGCGTGATTTGTGCAACGCCCTTGAGCTCGAAAGGTGGAAGCAAATTCGGGCACATCTCGCAGCGAGAGGGTTGTTTGGCCACCAGTTACTTTGTTGTTGTTCTTTGTTCATTGCGTTTTTTTGCTCTGCACGACTCTCCTCCCCCTTATGTATCGCGCCACTTTCGATGTTTCTGGCGATTGTTTTGTTGCCTTAATGACGTGGAGGTGGCTGGTAGGAGCGATAGATTGACGTGGCTAAGGGACGATGGGAAAGGCACGAGAGTGAACCGAAAAAACATCATAGAGGCGGTCGACAAGTCTCTGAAGAGGCTCGACACCGACTACATCGACCTGCTTCAGGTGCGGCGTTATTCGTGCTTGTTTGTGGGTGTTTCTTTTCGTCACGTGCTTGTGTATGGGTACATATACATACCTGGATGGTGCAGCTTGTGCAACGTTATTATCGCCGCCTTTCAAGAGACATTCATCGACGTCGTTTGACCTACGAGCGGGCATCAATTGTATGTTGACACGTTTGTGTCTTCGTCACGCTGGGCCGTGGCCGAAGCGTTACGCGCGTGCGTGCTGTTCATGTGCAGGAGATTTTTCTCGGACTTGGCGATTTCTTTTGTTTTTCACGGTGTCGTGCTGGTCATGTATCGGTGTCCTCGATCCAGGGTTGAACCCCGGGGACATCGATCGAACTTCCCCAGGCGACGGTTTGCCGTTTCCCCATCACGCGAGGTCATCGCCGGTTTATCAGGCGAGGGTTGACCCCCACCCTTCCTCTTTGACTCCCTTCTGCCGCCGTTTCTCTATTTCTGCCTGTCGACCTTGGTCCTCCAACGAGGTGACAGATCCACTGGCCCGACCGTGCGGTTCCTCTGTTCGGGGCTAACGAGCGCTACGACGTTGCGGTACGGAGATGAGCCTCGTTTGCCACNGAGATATTCGGCGAGTCGCATGAAGGGTGCGCTGCATCCTGCTGAGAGTATTCGGCATGTTGTGCTTACTTCCTTGCGTACGGATGACAGCTGCTCATGACTTGATTTATTTTCTGTTGCTCTCAGTTCCAGAGACTGTTATTAGCACTGGGTAACTGCCTCGAGGGTGCTTGACCATTTGAACACAACGTGGTGCGTTCATCCCCTCTGCGCGGAGTGAGGTTGCTCGACTCCGCACAACATGATCTACTCGATCACCTTATTGGTTGCCCCCCAAAAAACACACCAGAGGCAAAAAAAAGCGGTAACCTGGTTGCCGAGCTCACGAAGTGATCAGCTTGTTTATCAAGGTCGTTGCCAAGCGACGAAAACCCAACCCAGATGGCAAACACCGGGGGGGGGGGGGGGGGGGGGGGGGGGGGGGGGGGGGG